GATAACTTGGTTCACACACTTGCTCAGCGATGAGATTTCAAAAAAGTGTCGTTATATTTGGAACAGGAGGTGGGATGCTCTTGAATGACATATAAATTTGGTAGCTCGTTGGTGTGATGTCTATAAATTACGTACTGAAGAAAGACACAAGTGTTGATATGTGATCATTGGATGCTTAACATCAATGGAGGGGGCTTGGAATGTCCTATTCATGTCATGACATTGTATCATGTGTCGTATATGGGTACCTGGAAGGGGGTTCGCTATAGAACAAGCATTCATGAAGCATTATTCATATTTGGCTTGCATGGTAGCATTTGTATGTTACCTGAGATATATATTTAGTGTGTTTTTGGTTTACATTCATATCATATGCATTGAGATTGAGACGTATTCTCCATAAGAGATACCTTGGGCTTCAGTTCACCTTGTTGTGGAAATATTTTTTAGGTATTGGATGAGCTTTCGTTGACGGCCCTCCTATGGGCCCGCTTTGAGGACAAAGTAAGGTTGTGACTCTCGTTATAAATTTTGTAGTCCCTTGTGTAGATCCATATTTTGGCCTTGTATAAATCTAAGTACAAAACTTGTATTTTACTAAAAGCTTGTAATATGACTTTATATATAGACATTTATTCTTTTAATAAATGAATATTATATAAGGATGGCTGTGGATGAATGGTTAATATCTAATACTTAAGACTTTGGGATGTTGGAATTGGGAATGATCATATGAGTATTGTATGTACAGGTTGTGTATTGGGCAGAGCTTCCCATATAAAGGAGGCTTTGCCCAAATTTCGGTAAATTATGTATCCCAATAAATGGGGTGTAATGCTATGGTATTGAGTTAAATGGTATCTATGGGTATTCCGCTAGTTGATGGGTGATCAACGGGTTGAGAAAAGATCTATGGCTTTTGGGCGTCACAATTTTCTCCTAGTTTTAACTATTATACTAAACCCCCTCAACTTAAAAATAAGGGTACAAATTACATTTGGTCCCTAAACTTTATTTTTGATCTTAATTTGGTATTTGAACTTTCAATTATTTCAATTTAGTTTCTCACCTATGAATTTCTTTTATATTAAGTCATTTCATCTATGTTTATCATTAGATTAAATGGACACTAGTCCAATCTGATCAATTTCCACCGTTAGACCATATGTTTCCATTTGATTTAACTGTGAAAATTGACAAAAGTACTTAACTGAGATGAAAATAATAGTTGAGGAATTAAATTGGGACAATTGAAGGTTCAGGGTTCAAATTAAAACTCAAGTCAAAGTTTAGGGACTAATTATAAAATTTACCCTAAAAATGAAGTGTCATGGTAGATGTCTCTTACAAAATTTATAAAAATACCAAAATAACTTTATTTAGCCACTTAATTTTCATTCCAATACCCTTCTTCTACCTCAAACCCGTCTCTCTCTATACCCTTACCTTCACATAAACTTAATCTAATCATCACAAACAAACCAACATCACTATTAATCCCTCCACACGACTCAATCGAATCACACAGAGAAATCAAAGAATATTCAAAACATTGGGTCACATTTCACAAAAGAAATTCAAAAATCTTACTAAAATGAAATCGTATGATAACGTCGCCATTGTGGTTGTATAGAGCACAATGGTGGGTACAAATATAGTGAAGTACCATGGGTTGTTGTTTTGAGATGAGTTGTCATTCATGTTCAGGTTAGGGTTTTGTTTCCATGGGTTTTGATTGGGTTGATGGGCAGTGAAGGTTTTGATGAGAGAGAGAGAGAGAGAGAGAGATGATGATGGTGATGGTGGTTGACTTTTCACCCGTGATGAGGGGAGAAAGAGAGAAACAAATAGGAATGTCAGTGGATTGGAGAAAAACGAGTATTCATTTAAATTCTCTTCGTTTGAATCGGGGATGGACAATACATATTGAATAGTGGACGTATACGAGAATACCTATATAAACTTGTACGGGGATGGAGGTGGAGATGGACTGAAACTCATTCCCACCCCGCCAAACCCATAGTGTATATATATATATATATATATTATATAAATATAATAATAATTAAGTGTAACACACATTTGTTAAACATATTATTTTTGTAAGTTTTTGTGTTTGATCCATTTGTTATATAATAGGTTTTCTTCCTTCTTGTAAATCCATTTGTGAGATTTTATATTTTTTTTCTTAAAATCAAATAAATTAATTGTTATGGATGAGGACGGGGATTATAATTCTCTTTGCTATCGGGAGTGAAAGAATATTTTTAAAGCAGGTACGAGGGTGAAGACTACTCACCCCTTCTTAGGTCCCCTGTTATCCCCAGAAACAAAGGTAACGGGAAAGAGAAAGGGGAAAGAGAAAAGAGGTGAGGATATTTTTAAAATTTTGGATAAAAAATTTGACAAATTTAGCCACCCAATCTATTTTTGCCGCGTATGTGGTGCATGATGTTAAATATACGACGTCCTTCTTGTTTTGCATAAAAAAGTTATAGTTTAGAGATATTTAATGTAACGGTTTGACGTTGAGGGAGATTGTCTGCCAAATCCCTCAAGTACAAGAGAGTTTTTACAGTTTAATTCTTTCATAAAATTACATAGGTATTGTCCATGCTTGTTAAAGTTTAACCTCTTTTAAAGTGTAAGATACACCTACTCTCTAATTGGGTGCATGCACTACAAATTCCGTTAAATTTAGGCGGAATTTGTAACAGTGGCACTTTAGTCCAGAACTAGAAGGGGATTATGTGCTTATTTTTATACCATAGGGGGTGAAGTGCAACAACATGGTACCATAGTATTATCCTCCAAAATTGATGTCATAAAGCTTGGGATCCTAAGTTTTCTTACTACAATCTTCGATGACTGAAGTTCAAATAATTTATATCAAGCAACTCGATATTCTTGGGAATGGATCAGAAAACCCCCCATTTCGTAGCTTTGAGACTAATCACCCGTTTACTCTCATGCAGTCAAACAGTAACACAAACAAGGGCTGTTAATCACTCGTAAGTAACGAAACAATTAATCCAAGGGAAGTAAATTAATAGCAGAGGTTTCCAGCAAAAAACTGATCCTGGACATATCATGTATCCCTCCTTTGCTTTAGGAGTCGATACGCCGGATCATTATGGCAAGTGAAGTGCTACCGGTCCTTTTGTCAACGTTTTTATTTTTGGTTTTCCGTTTTTGTTTTCAATTTTTGTGAAAACTGAAAATGAAAACATGTTCCATAAGCATTCCCAGTTTTTCTCTAGTGAATTCGTTTTGCAAATACCGCCCATTTTTTAAAATGGAAAAAAAGTAGTTTTAAAAAACGGATAAAAATGAAAGCACGCAGAGGCAGCCCCGTCCCAAATAATGAGGTCTACACATCGACCCCCCTTAGCAGCAAATCTCCCCTTTTCCTTTGAGCCCTAAAAACCCATCTGGTTCTTCATCTAGCGCCTCTCCTCTTCCTATCGCCAGCTTCTCAGCCCTAAAAATCAGTTTCAACTGGGAAGATTGTGCTTGCCACAAGGCTGTTAAAACTGCCAAAGGGGCTGTAAACCCATAAATTGCAAAAGTATCTTATTGGAAAGATTGACCATTCAAGCATGTGATGGAAGAAGAGGGAACAATGTGAAAAACAAAAGAGAAAGGAGTACCAGGAAAATAATTCAGATAACAGGAAATATGTAGTTACAAGGCTTGGTACACAAAAAGAAAAAAGTACTAAATGCAAACCACACAAGCATAGGGCATCCAATTATGTGCTTATAGGATACACAAAAAAAAAAAAAAAAGTGGTTATATCTACCTATTATACTGAGATAAAGGCTGAGTTGAATTGTGTTGAGTTCAGTTATCTACCTATAATATGATGGAAGTCACTAATACTAATAAATGGCGTGTTCATTAGCACATGTCCTGAGAAGATTGAATGTGATTTAATCTTTAGTGGAGAAATTTTAGCAGGGAAAAAGCAAGCACCAGATCACCCATGAAAATCCTATCCTAGAGAGACATCTGAAAGTGCAGAATCAATTGAAAATATATGACCTAGAAAAATCTGAAAGCACACCCACAGATCCATGTGTATTCTGAAGGAAAAATCTAACCAAATGTTACAATACTGACCAAATAATCAGCCACTGTGGCAGCATCTACGTCTTCAGGTTTTCTATAGTTTTGTTCCCCTCGGACCTTGCTTGCACGCTGTACTGCAAAAAACCAGAGGATCCTGAGACCTGAAAAAAATGCTTAATTGAAAGAGGGGAAAAATACTTAGCAATTAAAATGAGTTGTACATGTAAATTTGCCAAGCAACCGAGAAGTAAAGACATAAAAAAATGAGTACACAACTTTTTTGGTAAATATTCATCCAAAAGCTTGTTTCTCTATGTTCCTTTGAATCAGAAAACAAAAAAACAACAAACAAGGGAACATAATCTTTTACTGTAGCCACAATTGAAAATGCAAAACTCCGTTTCCACATGATTCAGCAACAAAGTGATCAAGTGAAGTGATTAAGTTATTCAGAGTCCAAAGTTCACTTAAGTTTCAAACGTTCTGGAACTTCATTTTGCGCTTTAGCCATTTCAAAAATTTAAGTCATCTGAAAGTTGAACAACTACAGCTGTGTCATATTGATTCCAGACAGTTCCATATTATAGCTTGCCCAAACTGGGCTTCCAGTGTTTGGTTGGGCTGGCTGAAAGGAATGATACCAAACTGAAATTCAATAAGCTCACTTTATCAAGGGAAGTAAACCTTGGTTTGTTGAGGAAGACCAGCTGTAGAGAAAACAATTGGTCAGACTCAGAATCGCAGCTGAAGTTTGCTAAACAGTCTGCCACTTTTTGTTTTCTGTAAATGTATGGACGATTTTGAGATGGCGATAAACACTTTTTGTTTTCACTAAATTTATGGACGATTTTGAGAAGGGAATAAAGCAATCGTATCATCATATATATACTACTTGCAATCTCAAATTCCCGTGCTTGCTTTCCCTAGTCTCACTTCGGAGAACTCGTTCTTCTCCTCAACCCAACTGAAACCAGGTTCTTGTGGACTCCCTTCTCCTTCATCATCTTCCTTACATTCTCAACCTCTTCCCATTCTCCCTCAGAAGCATGAATATTGGACAGCGTCACAAGACCCCCGGGCCTATTCAACTTCATTCTCAAGATATCTTCTGTTGTGAACTTTACACCATTGAAGAAAGCCCCAATAATTGAATCTGTGACTCTAATTGGCATTTCTTTCACAAAACTATAAGCGTCATCCACCCTTCCAGAACGACACAGAAGATCCACGACACAAGCATAATGCTCCTTGCTGGCTTCAATGCCATACATTTCTCTCATGCACCTAAAAATTGTCAAACCTTTCTCAACTAATCCACCATGGCTACAAGCAGAAAGAACACAGATTAAAGTGACTTGATTTGCCTGCATTTCCCTATCTTGCATCGTCTCAAACAGTTGGATCGCACAATCAACCAGGCCATGCTTCCCATAACATCCTATCATAGCATTCCATGATGCAACATTCTTAATAGGAATCTCATTAAACACATTCCGAGCATCTTTAACACTTCCACATTTGGAGTATATGTCAATAAGAGCGCTAGTGACAAAGACATTCATATAAAGAACCATCCTGTATATGAGGCCATGGATTTCTTTCCCTATTTGAATTGAATTCATCAATGCACATGCAGGAAGCAGCCCTGTAACAGTCACATGGTTAGGCTTAATTCCGGCAATCAACATGTCCCGGAACACCTCCAGAGCTTCAACAGCACATTGACCTTGAACTAATCCTGAAATCATTGCATTCCAAGTAACCAAATCTGGAGGCAGACCCTCTTCACTCATTCTAGAGAACAATGCAAAAGCTCCATCACAAAGTCCTTTTCTAGCATACCCTGCTATCAGCGCATTCCACGTGAAATCATTCGGTCTCAAACCTTCTAACTTCATTGCATCAAACAGGACAAGTGATTGCTCAATCATTCCAACACTAGAATACCCACAAATCATTGATGTCCAAGAAACAATATCTCTCTAAACCATTCTATCAAACACTCTCCGAGCATAACTTATTCTACCACATTTGCAATACATATCAATTAAAGCATTGCACACAGACACATCCGATTCAGAACCTACTTTATGTACCGCATTATGAACTTCTCTGCCCTTATTCACATCCATCAAACCAACAATAGCCTTCAATGCAATAGAAAACGTATAATTATTCGGTATATTTGTTGATTCTTGAAAGAAAGATTAGTACCCAATTGCCTGTTCATAGTACCCATTAAATGCCATAGCTGAAATCATCCAATTCAACGCAAAAACATTTGCGTTTTGTGTTTCTTGGAAGATTAACTCAGCAGATATCAAATCCGCACAACTTGCATATACACCCACAAGCCTAGACTTCAAAGACAATGAGTTCATATCAACACCAGAAGCTAACAATTTACCATGAACTTGCTTGCATGGTTTTAGAGCTTTTGATTTGATGCAACTTTGCAATAAGGAGCTAAAATGGCGTGGAGACAAGTTAGCTGATGACAGCAATGGGTATTTCATGTTCTCCCATGTGGGGGTTAAGGTTGGATTTTGAACCATTCTAGTTTACAGATGATAAACCCAGAAAAATCAAGCAATTTCAATATATTTCAATATTCTTACAAGACTTAATTGGTTTCTAATTCATTGTTAAACCAGTCAAAATTTGACACGACACAATTAATCGACACGAATTAAACGAGTTTGAGTGATAAACGGGTTGACACGCCAAACACGTTTAATAAACGGGTCGTGTTTGGGGGAGACTTGTCAAACCGTTTTTCACAGGTTTACCCGTTTAAATAAAATTAATATAATAATAAATTAATAATTATTTTAAAAAATAAGCAAGAAAAAAAGAAAAAAAATCAATAAAAAAAAGAAGAAAGAAGTAAAGTAGTAGTTTAAAGACAAAAGAGAGGAGATGAGGAGTACTTTAAAGACAAAAGTAAACCAATGTTTTTTGTTTTTGTTCCACATTGAAAAATGAGGGGAGGATGAGGAGGGTTGAGTTGCCTATAAAAAGCAATGACCTCTTTTTTTTTTTTTTAAACTTTCAAGTCTTATTTTTATAAGATTTGACTAAAAAATCCTCTTTTTTTGAGGTAAGTGCAATTGACAATAAAAAAAAGTGAAGTATTAAAATTTGTTAATATAATTTTTTTTAAATTAAACTGGTTAAACGAGTTGTGTCGTGTTACCTAGTGTTTGTGTTGAGATTTTTTACCCGTTTATTAAACGTGTCGTGTACGAATTTATATATTTTCCACCTGTCACCTATTTAACCCTACACGTAACCGTTTAATCCGACACGTTTGACACCCCTATTCATGATCCCTTCACCATTTATCCATGTTTCCAAAGCCAGGGACATTGTGCATGGTAAAATTTGAGGGAAACTCTATTTATGAAATTATTTTATTTATCATATCGCATTACTCTTTATGTTTTTGTTCAGAATAACATTACTCTTTATAAAATTACTTTATTGTATCATATTGCATTTTTGTGAGGTGTTTGAGATGGATATTGGCATATTACCATTGATCTAAACAAATCAAAAAGTTATAACTCATATCTTAATTTGAGCTGACCCCCTAAAAAGATGTAGGTTAACCCTAAAAATTATTTATTTTTGAGATTATTTTTTATTGCAATTTTACACCTAAAAATTATAAGTTTTGGTACTATAGTTTCACGAACAAATTAATTGTCAGAATATGACAGTTTAGCGAACCAATGGCACCGCTGGTTATAGCAAAACTTCCCCTGGAAAAAAAGAATCATACTTGATAGTGTGAATAACTAGAAGGTATGAGTAGCTCTAATTAAATGAGTTTTGAGCTATGTTGGAGAATTAGAAGTGAGTGATTCGCAGGTGGAGCAAAACATAGTCCCTTAAATCTATTAGAATTAATTGGAGAATATTTGGCCATTATAGATAGCCTTCCCAAAGGCCACACGTGGGTTTCTAGAAATAGTGAGGTGGCATTCTTTGAGGTAATGGTTTGATGTCCAAGGTAAACCTCATAGCATGGGCTCTCCCTCTTCTTTGTGTGACGAATCCTGAGCTGTCCTGGCTAGGTCCGAGTTGCATTGCCTTCTTGAATAAGCTGGAGTTGTGTCCTTCAGGTCGGATAGCCCGAGCTCGGTTGGTCATGAGTTAACCAAAGGTTGGGGGTTGAGCTGTCTCAGACTGTAGGTCATTATAACTTGGCTGTATTTTTAGGCGTGTAATCGATATGACGTGAAAAGATTGTTTAGCTAAGTGAGTGTAGTTATGCTGGCACATTGTGTACTTGCTGCCTCAATCTTCGAGACACTTTCATCATGTACATATATGTGTCCAAGACCTCAAATTCATTGAATGCGTGTCCAGCACATTAATTGAGGGGATTTAACTGCCAAAATCGAAGACTTTTCTCCTTCATCTTCTTCATCCAGAGATAGAGAGAGACTTTGGGATCCTTATGGTACGCATTTCTCCTTTTCTTCACCCTGGATTGAATTGATCCTTGGTGGTGATCCTTAGGGTTTCAATTTGTAGTCCTTAGGCTCTGTTACCTTAGGAGCCATCATAGTTCCCTAGATTTTCTTAATTCCTTCGTTGGTAGTCTTTCTACAGCTAGGCTATCCCTGATTAGAGACAAGAGCTTTGACCCTAGGGAAATCGAGGACTATTCTTTGAATTTTCCGTTATTATATTGTAGTCTGAGGTGTGGAGTTCCTATGGTTAGGATCGAGTCTAACTTTGCCTCCTTTGCTACTCGTTCCTCCATTTCTTTAATGTGGAGGTGGCAGTGAGGAGGAAGCGATGAGATCTTCCCCCAAAGAGAAGGATCTCACTTTTGGAGGAGGTCTAAGCTAGTTGTCGTTGATACCGATGAACTAGAGCTGCCTGAGAAGGTACCCTTGGTGAGGTCCTCCAAAAAAACTATAAGGAGGAAACGAGGGTATTCGGGGGGTGCCTCCACTTTAGCAGTCCCAAGAAATAGAGGGCTTCTTGGGATCAGATTGACTTGTCCTACTGTGCGGCCTCTATTTGGAGTAGGTTCGATGATGATTGAGCTTATGCCATTAGGGAGGAGTATGGCTTGCCTGACAACGTGATTATCCACATTCCAGACGTTGAGGACTGTTGTAACGTTCCTTGTCCTAAGATGGTCTACTTTTTTGAAGCAGCCTTTTAGTCGGGCTTGAGGTTCCCCATGCACCCATTTATCCGAGAAGCCCTTATTCATTATAACTTGTGCCCTACCAGGGTGTCCCAAATGGCTGGGGACTCCTGGTGAGTTTTCTAGTCCATTGGGGAGAGAATGGCATTGAGTCTCACCCAGCTATTTCTGAGCTAGCCCACCTATTCCATTTGAAGTCTTCTTCAGCCCTTGGTTTTCTTTATTTTGCCAAGAGGGTAAAAACAACGACCCTAGTGTTTGACTTGCCCACCTCTCATGTGCAGTGGAAATATGATTTCTTTTTTGTCTCTAGGGATAATTGGGAATTTGGGAAAGAGTTGAGCTCTGAAATTCGAGTCCCTCACCTTTGGGATGTTGCTACCAATACACATAAGTCTTACATCCATTTTTAAGCCTCTATTGTTCTTTTTGTCTAACCAAGGTGTCATTATTTTTGTAAAATTCTGACCTTCTCTTACTACTCCGAAGCTAGCTCGTGTTACCCGGGCCGAGAAACATGGGTTGAAGTCCCTCTTGGAGCTCATGACACCGAGAATCTTGCTAAGTATGGGCTAGGTCAAAAACAATAGTGCATGTTTTGATCGACTAGTTCAGGTTAGGGGCAGACCAAATTTTCTGTGCAATCCTGTATCGACCGTTCAGATACTCTCGGCCATCGTTCCTGATGAAGACCTTCGCGAGGCTGGAGAGCTTAGGTTTAGCGACAAGGTTGCTAATGTTCTCCATGGTTTGTCTGCGATAAGGCTTTTCTTGCTTTTGAATTTCCTATGTGTGGGTTATACTTCTAATTATTGTACCCTTGCTTTCAGTCTATCACCTACATCAAGTGCATGAGCCTCCAAGCTCAAGGGTTTAATCAAGCTGTGCAATGAAAAGAATCTCAAATTAACTGCTTACAAGTATAGGCTCAGGGCCTTCCACCATGAATTAAAGGATCTTTAGACTTCAGACAGTTCTTTGAAGAAGAAACTGGCCTCTAAAGAGTTGAACTTTCCAAGTTGGTTGCAGAAGTTAATGCAACCAAATATGAGAAGACTAAGGCCAAGGAAGAAGTAGCATAGCTGAAAGCTGATCTGGATGGCGCCTCTCAAGTGCGCTCTAAGATGGAAGGGGCTTTGAAAGAGCTAGAAGCAACTTTGATGGCCATGAATGAAGAAGTTGAGAAGCTCAAAGAGGACGTTGTTGGTGGGTTTCTTGAAGGATTCGACAACTTCAGAGAGCAACCCAAGCCAATTTTTCCTGAAGAAGGAGCTCATGAGGAGCCACCAGATACCCCAATTAAGGGAGCTGTTGGGGAAAGTCAGCAAAAAGAGTAAGCTGAGGCACCGCTAAGCAGCAAGAGACTGAACATGAGGCAAACTGAAGAGTTGCCTTTCTTGTTATGTCAAGCACTTGTAAAAGTTTTTGTGTTTGTAAAAATTTCCAAGTGTTTGAAACTTTTCTTCTTGTCCTTATTGTTAGATAATGTTTTGTAATTGACTAATTTCGTGGAGTCCATTGTAAAATCTTAACCACTTTCAGGATCATAATGCTATCAAGCTCAATATTCAAAAGCAACATTGAAGGGAGGAGATCAAATGTCAAAGTTACATCATTCAACCTTCGTATGAACCTTCATGCCTAAGACAAAGGTAATGACCTAGACACCTAAGATGAGCCCTTAGTTATTTTTAATGTAGGATGCTTATGATGGAAAATAGAATTGAAAGTGATCCGATTATGCATCCTAGGGATTTTCAAGAAAAATTTTTTCTACCAATTTTTTATCTTGAAAAAATAGTTTGAGGAACAATTGGATCACTACAAGAAACTAGGATTTTGCTTCGGCTAAATGCCGAAGAAAATACTCTATTTTTTATGTCGGCATGTTCTTCCGAAGTAAAAAATTCAATATTTGTTTCGACAAGAGGCTAAAACTAAAAACTACGAGTATTTGCTTCAGGATTGAGTCGAAGCAAAAACTTTAGTTCAAAACGATGTAGTTTTATATTAATTTATAACAAAATGACATTGTTTTGAACCCTAATAATCAAACCTCCCTTCCCCTCCTCCCTTTACATTTCCCTCTTCTCCATTTGAAGAAATGCTAAAAAAAAGGTGTAGAAGATTGGAAGAATAAAGATAAATGGAATTAGAGGGACGAGTTACCTCTGAATGGAGAATACAGGGTTGTTTGATTTGGTACTTCCTCAAGGATGCAAGATAGTGAAAATACAAGATCTTTTATATTTGAAAATACTGCCAAACAAATTGATATTTAAAATATTTTTGCACTTTTATTTTTCTTTTATCCTTCTTTGTAAGGTTTAAGAATCAACAGTCAAAATCACAACTTGATTCCATGTGTCAATTTTTTTGCACTTTTATTTTTCTTTTATCCTTCTTTGTAAGGTTTAAGAATCAACAGTCAAAATCACAACTTGATTCCATGTGTCAATTTTTTTTTAGATTAATACGAGAAAATTATATTTTATTATTTAAATTCTTAAAAAGTATTCTTCATTATAATAAGATATTTTATTTAATTGTACTACATTTTGTACATAATTAACCTTATTTGGGCATTTAATAAGGGTTAGAAATAATTTTTTTTCTAAAATGTATCCCCAATTTGCAAATTTAATTTCTAAATTCGTAGATCTAATGATATGAATTCGCTAATTTGTATTTTGAATTCACAAAATAGTTACTTTAAATTCACAAATTTTGTGATACTAAATTCGCAATTAGTAAAACTGAATTCATGAATTCAACAAATTGAGAGTGCATATTTAAGATGAATTTTCCCTCAAAGTGTAAATATGCACGCAAAGCCATAAAGAGTAGGTGTTTTTGGTGAATCAAGTGGCTCAGAATAGAAAACTGATTAGATATTAAAAAGAAATTCACAAATATATATAATTAGAAACTTTAGTCTAATACTTGTGGACAAATAAGGAGTGACAATTGTATCGTGGATTTGCATCAAGCATTTATCAATCCTAATCCAACTCTCTTAATATATCATGTCACACTAATCCAATCTGTTTATTTTTGTATCATGTTGGTATTGACTCATATAACATGTGAATAAAAAATACAAAATTAAGATTTGAGTGTAACATTCAATTATCGCTTAACCAAACACACATTCATAGTTTTTTTTTTAATAAACTAAAAATTAACTTGATGATGCACAAAAGTGGACTTATACACCACATATCAAGTATTTAATGCAATAGTAAATAATGAGAGACAACAAAAGTAAAACACAATTTAAGTGGTTCGGTCAAAATGACCTACTCCACTGTGAAGAGTTAGGATAACCTGAGTGTTTTATTGTTTCAAGGTGTGTTGGGTGCTCAAGTGTGAGATGCCCCCCATGTGTCGTTGGAACTTACAATTTATAAATACCTCCTAATAGATTGAGGCACCACATTCATCACATTTAGGCTAGTTTGGTGGTGATGGCACTATTCGCTCAACAGACGGGATAGTTGCTTGGAGATGGCGTGAAGATCTCTTTATCAGTTGTAGAATAAGTCTTAGGATGGCGTGGCTGATAATCTAGGATGACGTGGCTCCAAAATGGTATGGTTGACTCCTTGACTCTAAGATGGCATGGCTCCAGGATAGTGTGGCTAAATCCGTCACTCTAGGATGGCGTGGTTGACTAGGTTTTGGGGAGCCCAATTATATTTGGGTCTCTTCCAAGCCAAGCTCACTGGTCCAGATCTGGGCCTAGCCCATTATCTAAGTTGGGGCTTGGGTCAGGCCCATAATTTACCCCCTATGCCCAGAGCCCAATGATTTGAGGGAGAGGACATTAGCTGGTCCAACTGCGGCTGAACTCTTTTCCTTGATGAGTACTCTTTTTGGAGGCTTATCTTTCCTTTTAGATATGGTATATCGTCGTTCTAATGGGAACTTCTCAAGGTCAATCTTACTCTAATTCGGATACTTGAATGCCAATCCAACTAGGTAACTACCAAACTTGGGCTATAAATAGATCCCTATTCCTTTCCTTATGTTCCCTTCCTTGAGAGGATTAGACTGAAGAGAAATGCAAGGAAGAGGCGGCATGAATGAAGCGCACATGAGTGAGACAGAATGGTCGCTGAGGCAGCTAGTGTGCGCACTGAGGTGGCTAGCGTGGGTGCCAAGGCGATGGACACTAGCGTCGGGGCTGGTGCGGGAGCCAGAATTTTGGCGCAGGCACTGATTTGGGTGCGGACTAGGGCGCCTAGAGCCTAGACACAGGCAGAGGCATAAGTGTGGGTGTTGAAGCTTGTTGAGACGTGGAAGTGGGCACTCAGGGCGCTATGGCTGGCATTGGTATATGGGCAAATACAAGTACAGGAGTAGGCACAGGAGCCTAGGCATACGTGGCAGGTCCCGCGACACAGGCATTCGGGCTAGGTGCCAGAAATGAGTTGCGCGTGGAGATAGGCACTAGGTAAATGGCAAGAGGTGATGGTGGTAGTGCTCATCCTCATCCATGACGACGCAAATATCGTGGTAAACTGGCAACTAATGACGATGGCTCTAAGTTGAAGTTTATCTCTAGTTCCCTCAGCATTGATACTAAGATTGCTAGGATTATATCCACTTTTCGCATTCCACCAGTGGTATTACGCTGTCGGGCCGAGATAGGTGAGCTAGCGTCTGATGCCTCCTCAAGAGATATTGCTATTTATAAGGAGGTACTTGATGCAGGGTTAAAGTTTCCCATACCTTTTCTTATTTGCTGAATCCTTCATTTTTTTTCACTCAAGCTAGGGCAGTTGACGCCTAATGGTTGTAGAGTTCTGCCGGGATTTCTTGCATTATGGAGAATGGTGCATTATGAGGATGCCTCTCCTAAAGAGTTTTCTAATGCCTATACTTTGACTAAAACTCCTGTTCCCAACCATAGCTAGCGTCACTTTACTCTGAAGGGAAGAAAATTAATTGTTGGCTTGTGCTCCAACTGCCATAGCCAAAAGACTCGATTCTTGTTTGTAGTAGGATAGTGGGCTTTAGAGGTGGATAGGGCTTTGGTACCAATGAGATGGGGCATTCCCAAGAGAATAGGTATAGCTACTCTCATTTTTTATGGGTATTAACCATTTTTTTTTCCAAACTCCCCAGTGCTCTTAGCGAATAAGGAGTGGAAGCTTCAGGCTGTGAGGGTCTATCTTATAAATGATTTCGACACCCTGATGCTTAGAGGGGGTGAGGCTAGGGACCCTTCTTTTGGAGGTACTAGAGGTGGTGTGTCTTCTTCCATGGCTGACAGCTCTTCATCGAAGATAAACTGTATATTGGCTTCCTTTAGATTTTTCTCCTTTTTTTTTATACTAACACTTTACCCTTCTACAGTAGATAGGACAGTGGCAGAGCCCCATTATTATACTAGGAGTACTCCTCCACCCAAGATGGTCAGGGTGGATGATGTTCTAGCGGCCCCTTCTTAGGTGACCCCCCAATAGCTCCTCCCCAGATAGCTTTTTTGGTGATTCCTCTAGAGGTTCCTCCAATTGTCACTCCAGAGGTGATTTCCCTTCCAGTGGCTCCACAGGTGACCGCCCATTCTGCTCCCCATACATCTGATTCTCAAGCAAGGACTTTTGCAGAGGCAGGCTCTCAAATGCTGTCCATGCTGGATGATGTGCGGATCGTAAGGGACCTGTAGAGATTTGTGTCGCCTGTAGAGATCACGTAGGTTGTTGTTTGGGCATTGAGAGCATTATTGACACTATCCTGGGAGGCTTGGCTTAGGTAAGTAGTTGTTCTCTTTCTTGCCTTTGTGTCTCCTTTTTGGAGCTGACTTTCCTTTATCTTTTTTAGGTTTTTACTACTTCTGTATGCCTTTTCTCAAGGGTTGTTCATCTCAGCCAGCTACAATCAACTGTTAAGGAGGAGAGGCTTGCACATGAATCTATAAAGGGGGACTTGTTGGCAGCTCAGGAGATAATTGCCAAGATTGAGTTTGACGGTGAGGCTTCCCAAGCAGAGCTTGTGGCGACCCTTGAGAAGGTTATTCTTAGTGAGGCTTCCAGCTCGAGGGTAGAGGTAGAGCTTGTGGTGACCGTGAGAGGGTCGCACTTAGTGGGCTGCTTGCACGAGGGCAGAGATAGAGCTTATGGCAAACTGCGAAAGAGCTACTAAGCTGGAGGCTGATGGCAAGACCGCCGGCTTGAGAGCATAGGTAGAGTTGGAGGCAGCTCGTGAGAGGGTTTCCCAAGCTAAGGCAGATATGTAATGGGCCTATGAGAGGGTTGCCAAAGTTGAGACTGATTCAAAGGGCGGCTTTGTAGATACCTTCATTGACAGCTACGAGGAGCTTAAGGG